AACAAATGGTAAATGGTCTGTATTTTTAGCTTTGAGCTTTTCTATTCTTAATGACCACTGATTAACGTGAGGATTTATTCAATATAACTGACAAACTGGCGGCTTCTAGCCTCTTCCGCTTCAACTTCCAGCTTCAACAGGCCAACAGCTATCTCCCTGGCTACCTGTTACTGCATTACTACTACTGCATACACCCTGGTGTAAATAATAGATTAAATGTCGATTTATCTCAAAGTGAAGATTAGAAATCTTTTATTCTGTATATTCCAAGTCTTACGTGTGCATCTGGAGAGCTGGGCTCAGTCCCAGGGAGGGCGCAAGCCAGGTTGTTTGCAGACGAGCTGCACTGTTCCAGGTCGGAAAGGTCTTCTCTGGAGGTGGCTTTGGAACAGGTGTCCAGGCCACTGTCTGTGGTTGTAGGGCTTGAAATGGATGAGCCAGCACTGTCTGAGGCTGGTAAGCTAGAGGCAGACAAGCCCTGCTCAATGAACGGGACGCCACCTATAAACAAAGAGATGCATATGATTTGATGGTGTAAAATGGTGCGTTTCACCATCTATCCATGTGCACAAATGTACAGAATTTGTTGAAAGGGTTGATAACCTTCAAGTTTAAATATACACTTTCTTTTAATAAGTTGAAAGTAGTATTTTAGCAAACTCTCACTTTTATTCAGAAAATGACTGGATGCTATTGAACATGATCTTTGAGGTCAGCTCGTATCTGCTTGAACCTTGATTATTTTCCCACGTTTCAAAATTCCCTTCTGTTTAATCGGTGGTCACTTTTCTTCGTCAGCCATTTATTACCCTACCAGAATTTTTAACAGAAGAGAACCGGCAAACTTTGACTCCATCAGCCTCCACTTAGGTGACCACTGGTGATAGTGAGTGTATCATTAAAATGGAGTGTCTCTCACCTGAAAGGTTGTTGTTACTGAGGGTGCTGGACTGGGCTGGGTCCATCTGACCAGAGGGACTTCGGACCATGTGTCGAGGCTGCCTCGGCGAGCGTTTCTGCTTCTTCCATTTGGACGATTCACTCATTCCACCGGCACGCATCTTCAACTACAGGAAACACGAGCGCATCACTGAGCAAGTTGTGGGTTTAACAGACCTCTACTACACACCGTGCCCAACACACCCATAAATGTTAGCTCAAATTGCATTATAGGTAATGCAGTCAGGCTTTGATAAGGTGATTGGATAAAAACAGATGATGCCTCTAGTTCTGCTGCAAAACTAAAGGTTTCAACTTTAGTTTTAAACTACCCATCATGAGCAATACAATGTTTAGAGGAGCACAATGTTAAATCAGTGTGTTGTTTGAAATAAAGGACTCACTCATATAAACTGATGCATATTTTCCCTTCCACAGCATTAATACTTCTATAGACTGAACTCTCTTAGGGAGACTGAAATGAATTGGTCTTTAATTGTGATTTATTGCACTATAGTAGTTGGAACAAACACACCCTTGGTCAAATCATCTTGTATAATATGCCTGGAACAAAAAGAGTGTGAAGATACTGAGTGAGGTTCAATAGAGAGGAACCTATTTGATTAAAGCCTGAAATGAAAACACTTTCATAAATTCATAATACAATGCACTTAACAAAAACAGTACAGCATATACATTGTACACCAAGAGGAGCCACAGCCACTTATTATGATTTGATGTGGGTTACTGTTACTGTGTTTTAAAAGGTTCTGTTTCCTCATTGTGAGTGTTGTATTTACTTATGCAAACCATTTACAGTTTCAGACACTCTTAAATCTATTTTGTGATGTCATCTATTCTTTAAAAAAAATGACTGAAGCATGATCGATCCAGCAAAAGATGAAAGGGCTTATGGCTGGCATGATATGCAAAAGCTGAGACATATGCATGAGATCGTAAACCAAAAGATGTTTCAATTAGAAACAAAATTCAATAATATTACAGATGTAATGAGAGCACAGACTTGGCATTGTGAACTATGTTTTACATGATAAAGACCATTAAGAATCATCTACTCACTATGTTGTTTTATATGAGAGGAATATTTCTTAAAGCACTTGTCAAGTTCTTCTTTTAGCCACGTTTATAGACTTAAGGGCTGGAAGGTTAGTGAGTGGTCTTAAAAGGACAGGGGAAGGTTACGGGAAGAGATTCTCCAGCCCTAATACTTGAAGTTATCTTCCTTACCTGCACTCGTTTGTTTTTCCACAAGATATTGTAAGCCTCAGAAGAGAAGGGGAGCGGGCAGGTGCCCGTGATTAGTGATGGGTAACATGTCAGCAGTGGGACCAACACACAACACATTCAGGCATACATAAGCTTACGCTTAATGGTGGGGGGAGTGGGACCCAAACAGCTCGCAGGGTTTTAAGTGCGCACACACACACATGCACGCACACAGCCACTATTTGCTCCAATCACAAAAGAATGGGCAGCAAGCCGATGAACAGGCAGAGTGAGTGGATGGAGAGATACTGTAGACCATGCAAAAAGCAGCAACTGCTGGAACAATTGTTTCCAGCTCAACAACAATATAATATATATATAATAATAGCAATATGGCAGCCATGAAAAAGAAACAGCTAAACTGGACATTTTAGTGAGAGTATATTCTTATAGTATGTAGCCTGTTTCATTAGTATTAGAGTCAATTGATTGGTATTTTTATTTTGTTGTTGACAAAGTGTAGTAGCACAGATTTCAGTCATGTCCCCTAAGTTACCTCACATACTTCTATTACATGTACTCATTCCCTGCATTTCAGAGAAACTTTAGATCAGTGACATGAACATTTTTGAGATTCAGCTGTAGATTAAATGGATTGTTGACATCACCTCAATTTTGGGTGTAAACCCTGGTGATGGTAGCATTTGGCGCTTTCCGTATTTAGACAGTTATGCACAAACTAAAGTTCAACCCCTTGATGTTTTTATTATTATCATCTACAGAGCAGTGAATAGGAGAAAAATCTTTTTTAATGTAAAATAATTAACCCAGTGATGAAATTATACTTGAAATTAAAGAAAGTTCAACAGTAAGCCACTTTTATGCACTCCCGCCAATAAGCCGAACTCACCCTGCCTGTCAGTGCACTATGACAGTGGGCCACTCATATGGGCCATTTAACTACCATCTCTCTACAATTACTTGTGCTTCTACTCAAATAATATCCTGAGTGTCCAGGATACAGTGTTGGGTGTGTGGGAAGGGAAACGGCTAGACACAGAAAGATGGACGACTTAAATTAAACACTAAATGTTCCAAAAAGCAAAACTGAACTGAAAGGACAAAAATAAAACTGGAGGAGAGGGGAGGGTACAAAGGCAGAAAAGGGTGACAGGAGCAGGAGAACCAAGGATATATGATTTAAGGTTTATCCAGACGTTGACTCTTTAAGGTTAATTCAGGTAAGATGTTTTTAAGTAGAATACCACTGATGACAGCGTGCAGGGATTATGTGGCTGATGTGGTCTTTAGGACATATTTCTTAGTTTGTTAAGTGATGCTATTACATCATTAACTGTATTTTACAGCCATATAGAGAAACCTAAAAAAAACACACAATGATAATGAGAAAACCCAAGACAGTAAAGATGAGGGAGGTAAAAAAATCACAATAACAATAAGCAAGCACATTCAACATCTCAGTCCTGTTACCTTCTTCATGTTGGCACCAACATAACTCTTGGCCTCCTCTTTGAACTGTGGGAGTCTGTAAGAAAAATAACACAACTTAAGAACTTAAGAAAAAGGCGGAAAGAAATCCTCTGAAATAAATTTACGACAGAGTTGCAAACTGTGCATGTTTCAAACAAATATGAATTTGTAACATACTTTATAAAATACTTCAATCCATTTCTTTTATCAATAATGTTACATTCCTTTCTTTAAAATTTCAACAGACAATAATGATTCAAATTAGTATGTTTTCGTCACAATATGCCTATACATGAAAAAACCTAAAAATATCTTTGCAAATCTCAGCCTCTGCTGCTTTAACTTTTACCAGTTTGATATCCTGCTGGTGTGAGTCTCGCATCTATGAAGCTCAATTTACCCATGAAAAGATGGAAAAATTAGTAGAAAAGCATTGTAGAACACGTCCTAAGCTGCTTAAGTGGCAATACCACAGTCATAATCTCAACATTTTCTACCTGAGCCACAAATAAACCTTTCCAGCATTTTGCAAGCAATGCTGGCTGCTGTTCTCAAGGCGCTACACAAAGATAGGATAGGATCCTGTGGACTCTAAAGCTTTGCTGGAAAATGAGATGTCATCCCATTCGCTCGCACGCACACGCACACACACACACATACACACAGGCACTCACAAAAGGAGGAGCCAGCAGCCCCCTTCTGACATCAACTCGGCGTTAATAGAGTGTTGTCTTGCGACCATGATTATTGGATGATCTGTGGGTCCAACAGATTAACATGCCTAATACTTTCAGCAGGCAATCTAAGACTCCTCATGAGGAGCTGAAGAGAGCTGCTGCTCATTATTCTTTGGTTGGGGTGAAACAAGGGGGGGGGGGGCAGACCCATTCAAAGGGTCTGTGTACAAGTCAGGGGGGTGGGGGTTGAACATGAGCAAAATGAGATGAAGAGCCGTGTGTGTGTGTGCTTGTGTGTGTGTGTGTGTGTGTGTGTGTGTGTGTGTGTGT